CACCGTTGTAAAATGTAGAATGGTCACTGCTTGGTTTCTATTTTATTTATTTATTTTACTAGAGGAGTTTCTGGGAAGTCTGGTTGAGTTACAGTGTTCTTTCAATAGTAGCCTACTTTTAATATTTTATTCTTTATCTTTTACTCCTGACCAATAGGGCTGACCAGTCCTTTCCCATCCTCAGGCCGATAATAATTTTTATTTATTATTTTTTTTACAGCGTTTCAACAGCGCTGAGACTTTTCACCAGACAGACTGTCAGGCTGTGAATAATCTATGTCACTGACTCTCAAAGTGCGGGCTTCCTCCAGTGGTACGCAGAGGAATCACTGAATTAAATATAAATTAAATTATAAATTAATATAAAAGTGTTAAAACAGTTTTTAAAAGTTTGCAAGGTGGCTAAATGACGCCTGTGTTAAAGTTTTTTGATCAAGTACTATACATTTTTTTTTACTTTACATTTAAGTACAGTACCTTTTTTTTTTTTTACTTTTTAAGTACAGTACAGTTTTATTTATCTTTTAGGTACAGTACATTTTAACCATTTTAACTGAGAACCACTGATCTACGTGATCGTTTTACATCGACACACCAGTAGGTGGCGACAAGTGACTGTTTTTACGAATGAGTCATTTAACCGATTTGTTCAGAAACGTTGATTGACTCGTTTAAGAACGAATCTTTATGAGTGAGTAATTGAATTGTTCATTTAAACGGTTCGTTAATGTTGTTTTATCCAGAAACGGAACTTCATGTATGAATCACTGAATCATTCCTTAAATCTGTAATTGCTGAAAAGACACTACTGAATCATTCAGAAACGAAATACCACACAGTGTGTTGCAATGGTTCTCTGTGGCTTTGTTCGGAACTAGCCTATATTTTCGCCAGAAAACAGATTTTAAAAAAGTCTCAAATGTAGGCTAAGTGCTTAACATTAACTAATTGTTTATGGAGCTGTTGTATAAAAGCAACAACAGCCCAAGCCGCGTCGACGCTTTGCAGTTTTCAAGATTCTGAAGTTTGTAACAATGTTCTTAAGTGTAATTCTTAACAAAATCGTGCGTGTCGTTAATCCTTACCGTCCCAAATATTTTCTTAAGAAGATTAAACATTTTCTTAGATATTAATTAACAGGGTTTGTTGTTGTCTGTCTGATTGTAAACTATTGTATTCAACCCATATGATTGCTTTGTCAGTGCGTTACACTGGTAGGCTAAATATGTAAACTTAAGTAGCATTTTTAATGTAAAGTGCGTGAGATGTTTTAGTTTAATGACATTAAGACAATTTACTTGCTAGATGATAAAAATTTGTAGTAGGCTATTATATAACCAGTGTTATGTTACCCTGCTTAATAATTGCAACAACCCAGTTAATTCATTAAACATCCTACCTTTTTGGATTTAAGACACTTTAGTCAAGACAAGAGGTTATTCTAACTTAAATAAGTTATTTGTGATATTATTAAGAATTTGAATTCTTATGTTTTGTATTAAGAGTATTAAGAAAAAAGATAAGACATACTTGAGGCCTAATACACTCTACAAGCTGCTTGCGTTTGTCTTTTTTTTATTTTTTATATATCATTTATGTATTTTCTTGAATTAGTTTTGATTGCTCTCCGAGTGTCAAAATTTGAACCTGCAAGTGCATGAAACCAAACAAACAAAATATATGGAACTTAAGTACTATATATAGGCTACTATAAGCATGTGGATTGCTAGTCTTTTTCCCCCACTGGAACAAATGGTTCTTAAAATACTTTTTCATAGTATTATTTTAGGTATACGCAGGAATTAATTGTCCCAACCAGACAGAGAAGAATGATTCAGAGGTGTGAAAATAAGGGCCTAAAAATGTTTGGTGAGTAAATATATATGTAGCGTACATATGTCTAACGAGACATTATTTTGGGGGGGGAATGAAATGCAAAATCATGTATCATGTATGTTGCACTGGACCAGATGCTTTGGTACTGTGTTTCGTCTCACATGCCTTTATAAGTTGAGATAGACTTAAGCTAAGGCACATGTCTGGAGTTTGTCTACATTGGATCAGTGAGCTCCTTTGACTGTTTTCATATACAATTCACAGTTATCCAGTCAGACAGCACCTACATTTTTTTCCTTAACTGTATTTTTGAACATAGTTTAGTCATATGCACATCAGAGATAACAAACAAGCTCACCGCTGTGCGTGATTTGAGTGGAGTTAGTCAGAGGCATGAGGAGTAAAGTTTCTCATTTAATATTCCTGCAGCCAACTGAGCTCCATGCTGCCGAGTGACCGCCGCTCCCTCAGGCATCAATAATACAAGAGGAAGTTATTGTTCTGCTGCAGGCGACAGCAACACAGAATTAAAAGGCTTGTGGGGAGGCTGTGCTAGGCCTTTCACTCAATCCACTCATATAAATGAAAGCTTATTCTAAATATTAATAAATACTATGATACTATAGATTTACATATACTGTAGTGTATAAATAATTCTCAAACATCACCATAAATCTTGGGTTATTTTTTGGAACATTTCCATCAGAAGACTTTGAAAGAATGATTATACAATTGATTGTTTATTATGCAGCATTATCTGAAAGTGCTTTATCTACTGTATATCTACTGTGCCCTGTTTTAGCCTCAGCCGAAAGTAATGACTTACTTTTGTAACTCCTTTAATCTTAATTACTATGAAATTGCCTTGTGATACAAGAGTATACCCTCTTAAAGTTCCTTGGCCTTTCTCTTTTCTCATATTACATCCCTGAGCCTCTGGCCTCTCACTCCAGCACACAGTCAGCTGGCACATGACGGGACGATGCCGCTGAAACATGAAGCTGTGGCTCAGCAGCATGGTGGGCGAACCACAGTACAGTCACCAGGGAAGATGTTCTGTAGGCAAGTAGAGTACTGCTACTTTAAACACTAACCTGCATAACTCATATAATGGTTTATCTGTATCATTCATTTAAATTGGAACGTCAGGAAAACAAATTTACTGAACTGCAATTCAAAGAAATTCAACACAATAATGCATTCTGGGAAATTATCTATCTATCTATCTATCTATCTATCTATCTATCTATCTATCATTCTATCTATCGTTCTATCGTTCTATCTATCTATCGTTCTACAATTTTATTTATCTTTCTACCATTCTGTCTGTCATTCTGTCCTTCCGTCCATCCGTTGCTAATTCAGTTCAAATGAAGAAATTTGATTTTAAATGTCATTCTCAATTTAATTCTGAATGGCGCACAACTCTGACTGAAATCACAATGGCATTGCTAGTCATGAACCAGATCTTTGTAGCTCTAAATCCTATAGCCTGGATAATCTCCTGTTTCTTTTATGTCGGTAACCATATACCACTGGTATTATGTGCCCAGCTATGCTGTTACATCAAGGCCAATTGTATAATACAGGGGCTGGCTTTCCATTTTCCTCAATTAATCAACAGTGTTCTGCGATCATCTGTGATTTGTATATAACTATTCACCCAGAACTTTTCCATTGACTTTTGTTTCTTTGTAAAGGTGACCTCAGGCAGTTAATATTGTGGTAAGTGTCATGAATCAGCAAGACTTTAAATTATTATACTATAAGTGTATAGTAAAGATTATTGTAAATGAACAGTTTTGTTGTCCTCTTTGTACAGGGGAATTAGACATAACTTGACATGGAACGCTCAAGCGATGGGTTTCAGGCCAGATGGTTTACCCAGCAGGCCGTCTTTGATGACCTGCCCCTCTACAGAGGAGGAAACAAGGACTTTGAAACCTCAGCACTCATCTAGAAGACCTAAACTTCACCAGTCCCAGCCAAAAGTCCATGAGCAGAGTGATTCAGACCCCTCACCCTCAGCAGAGATTCTGGAAGCTGCCTGTAATGCCTCTATCCCTGGTCTCACTGGCATCTCGAATTTTACTGTCTTTCTCTACTGTAATATTTTCGATGGAGAGAATGGCTCACAGGACCCTGAAGTCAACTATTTTGGGGTAGACCTGCACGCGACCTGCTCCGACGCTGCTTGGTACCTCTCAGCAGCAGAGGAAGATTTTCTTTGGGTTCACGTTTGCAGCGAATTCTTCGCTCACGAGTTTAACAAAACAGTGTGTGCCAACTCTACATTCTGGCTTCAACATGCACATCAGGTACATCGAGTTACTTTTTGTTTGTTTCTATGAAAATATTAAAAGGTTATTTCACCCAAAATTAATATTCTGTCATCATTTACTCACCAAACCCAAGACTTAATATTCGAAACACAAATTAAGATAATTTTAATGAAACCTTAGAGGTTTCTGTCCCTCCTTTGAAAGTCCAGGTAACCAAAATTTAGAAGATCCAAAAATTTCAAAAAGGCATTTTAAAAATGCATCCATGTGAATTGCATGGTTTATTTCACAGTTAAAAGATTTAATTTACTTTTAAACAATGATCGACACACATACAAAGAGCACATTATGTAAGGTAACCACAGAAGCTCGAATATACGTGTACGATGCATGAGAACCAATCTGATTTTTTTCTAATGCGTGACGCACACAACCTTCCATATTTACCATATGTGGTGTGCTCTGTATATGTGTTTATATGTGAATTAAAGCTAAATTAATTTGGCTAATTATATTAAGTTGTTGTGTCTCTTCACAAGGACTCTTCATATGGATTTTTTTTATGAACTCCTTTATGAACTTTTTGGAGCTTCTAAGTTTTAGTTACCTTGACTTCAATCTAGGGACAGAAACCCTTTCAGGTTTCATTAAAAATATCTTTCTTTGTGTTTTTCAAAGATAAACCAAAGTTTCGTAGTTTGGATTGAGGAGGATGAGTGAACGATGACAGAATTTTCATTTTTGAGTTAACTATTGCATTAAACTTTTCTGTATTGTACTGTCTCAGGCAGAAGCTACAAGGGACTACCAGTACCTCAACCAATCAAGTATTGATGACCTCTGTCTTCAACTCTCCAACGATGTTTCTGGGGGATCTCCTCCAGACACCACTGAGGACTGCTTAGCACTGCTAAGCAGCAAAACTCTAACCGCCCAGGATTTTAGAAGGTGTTTTCTGCCCAATAACACAGCCCTTATTGCCTCTTTGTGTGGAAATGATTCGTCTCAAATACCTCAAGATGGGAGCTGGGCAGCCGAGTACTGCTCCAAAGTCACTCCTAATCACTCTCATGGGGCCCCCAAAGACAACTGTGATTACTCGAACTGGAAGGCAGAACATTTTATGAACACCACCGCCCTTGAGATTTGCAGCAGTAAAGCAGGTTTGAAGGACTATATTTGCAAAAACGCCACACTGTACCTCACATTGGTTCGAAAGCAACCTTTGCTCTTAGACTACTGTTTGAACTCTGAAGAGAAGCAGGGCACCAAGTGCGTCCTCCAGAAGCTGTTTGACATGCTGCCAGCGCCGTATGACTTCGACACGTCGCAACTTTGTGTGAACCCCTTGCCCATTCTACAAGAGGCTATTCATAAGCTCACTTTATGTGAAGGAGTAGTGGATGAACACACGGGATGGTTAGCTACGGTGAGCTACGTGCTTCGAATGTTGGACTTTGTGGTGGGGCTCTCGGAAGGTTTAGAGGAGGGACAACGAGAGGTGCGTCAGAGCCTGGGTCAGGCCATTCTTCTGTCCAGCCTCCAGGACAATGCTTCCTTCTGGGCCACTCTACGGCCCGATGCATCAATAAGTGTACTTCACACTGTGGGCGTCTTCCTGAAGAGAGAGCAGAACTCCACCTTAAAAGAAGATCTTTTAAGCTGTTTCAGTGTATGTCATGCATTTAAATATTGCATAGTTTCTCATGCTAGTATTTTATTATTATATTACCATGCATTCAGCTTAATGCATTCAGTTTCAAAGGCTTTTCTCCCCAGCAGCCTGTCCTGTGGGATCTCATTCAGAGGGAGGGCAACTCTTCTGCTTTAAGATTTTTAATGCAGGTATTACTCATTCTCTCTGATGGTAAATTATCTAGTCAGTTAAACCCAGGGTTTTCAAGCTTTTTGATGCCATGTAGCCCTATATGATAATCCCTTTACAAAAGACCCATTTTTAAAAATATACTCTTAAAATAAAGGTTCTTTATTGGCATCTGTGGTTCCATAAAGAACCTTTAACTTCCACAGAATCTTTCCATTGCACAAAAGGTTCTTTATAGTGGATACACTAAGAAAAACGGTTCTTTAAGAACTGTTCACTGAAAGTGAACCCAAAATTGTGAAACCAACATTTGGAATCTTTATTAAGAGTGTATGTA